AGCGCAGACCACGCTTCAATATTGAGCATAAATCAAAAAAGTCTGCATCCTACCTGCGACAAGCTCACTGCAACACACTGCTGTGGGAGTATAACCAGCCCTTCACAGCTCCAGAGAGGGAACCTGTGAAATGGGGGGCAGTCAGGCTTCTTCCTTACTGCCAGCTCTATTCAGGCAGCTCTTAACATGGCGAACGCTGACACACATTCAATTTGTCCTTACCAAGAAGCAGCCTTGCTCTCTTTCGCACCACTGAAATTCAGACCTGAATTATTATTTTATTGAAAATTCCCTCGGTTTTAAAGTTTCTTCATTGTGTTTCATCTACACTTTATAAACACTTCCTTAAATCATCAAATGGTTTAACTGTGGGCCTCTAGTCGGTAACAGCTCCACACCCAAAAGCACTTTGGCCAGTTATCCATTACGGTCAATAAGGCTGCAATTCTCTCCATTCTACTGGTCAGCTTATTTTAATTATTAATGAAGAAATGGTCCTGTTTGTACTTTACACTGATCCATGTTTGGAGGGTTCTCCAAAAATTAGGCTTTATTTTCTATATTAGTGCTCAATCTGTCAGGAATCTTATGTGCTCATAAGTACTGCTTACAGGTAATAAAATGACTTTGTACCTCAGTACTGAACACAATCCTTGTTCCATAAAACAATCAACAAAAGGTTAAGTCCCTAAAGTCCTGCTCTCTATTTGCTACTTTTTATGGGTGTTGCTTTTGAGATTATCAAAGAACTAAGTTTTCTTTGATTACCATTCATTTCCTGCAAGTTTTATTTTTTTTCTATGGCTGTCTAATAACAAGTTGGAGTGCATATTGTAATCATTTGTTTTTAGTTTGTTTGGCTGTGTGTATGCTTTTTTAAAATTATGAATTATTTTTCTGAAATCATATTTTGATTGACTTCAGAGTGATTGTTGAAAATAAGTTGTGATTAAAAAAGATAAAACTAATTTGATTGTTCTGTTGAAAGAATCACAGCCACAGTAGTGATTTTTTTCAAATTCAGCATCACAACATTTTTCAGTAGCTTTTGTTTTTTTATTCTTTTTTTTGCCAAGAGAAGGAAAAATTGCAAATGGCAATTGTGAGCCAACCTAATATGCATGCACAGGGTGAATATGCTAACTCTTCAGAAAGAGACTGGACCTCTGTGTGAAGCAACAACACTGCTGACAACCTTAACTTTGGGTTTTACCTGTCATTTAAAAAGATTTTCCTACACTCTGTATACAGGGTTTTATCACCACAAGTAACTTTTGAGTAGATCTGTTCAGCCTCTTATGAACCGGTACGGGGGATTAGGAACCTTTTCTAAAAGAAAAATAGCTAGATTTAACATGTATTTCCCTTAAACATCTCTATCAGCTCTTCCTTTTCTCATTTTGTACTTTAGACGTTGGTTTTTAATGGCCTTAGTTGTGCTTTTGTGCTACTTGTAGCTCTGTAGCAGTTGAGTACTTAGTCTGTGTGACCAGCTTCTTTGCCTCTTGACCCCAAGATCAACTGAAAGAGAATGGTAATCAGTATTTATTAATATATAAAAAAAAAAAATCACACTGCCTATTTATGGGTAAAGATGCTCCCTAGATGCATAGATATCTGAAACCAGTTAGCTGTTTGAGAAACTATCATCAGATCAACAGTTTAAAAGCCAGATGAAGATACAGTGTTAGATGGAAGCCCATAGGATTTTAGTCTTACAATTTCCTGTTTTTTTTTTCTTTGAGGCTCCTTTCTGATACACTAACACAGAGTAGTTTTTTACTCTTGACTTAGACAAACTTTATTGATATTTTATATACACAGAGTGCAAACAAAACAAAATTTCGATGGATACAGTTTTTTCAACAGAGAAAAAGCAGCTTAGCAGTGAAATTAACTATTCCATTTATAAAGTGCACCAGTGATCAAAATGTAAACAGTGCAGGAGAGACATGGTGGAAAAGGCATTGACGTGGATGGTTCAGAACGGTGCAAAAATAAATAAATATGATGCAAAATGCAGTAGAAACACTGAATTGAGTTCAATTTAAAGAGATTTGAAGATTCACTATGTAGTGTAAATTTGACATGTATACATATATATATGGCAATACCTTAACTGACAGACAAGGGGAGCATTATGTAGAAGAAAAGCTTTGAAGTCCATGGTAACCTATAAGGAGATGCAGAGATCTAAAGGTCAGGTTGTGCGATCTGAAAATCTTTTTATGGAAGAGCAGTAAGAAAATAGCAATTCTATAGCCTGTTTACATCTAACCTTGTTAGGAATAAATTTAGATATGTGAAAGAATTTGCTCAGATCAGATGACACCAATGTCACTTTCAGCAAATGAAAAATAGAATAGAAATAGTATAGAAAAATGCCTTTTTTGTCCCACAATGGGAAAATTCTGGTGTTTACAGCAGCAAAAAAATATTATAGAAAAAATGGTTGCACAAATGTCGGCCTTAGAAAAAGTTATAAGAATAACATAATAGTGAAGAGCTATAAGATAGAAAATAGCAGCAACATCAGAGATGTGCAAAATTACAGCAGCATGTGATTTAACTGAATAAGGTAGAAAATGTGCATGAATGTAACAACTTATTGAGGTTGTTGTTAAGTGGAAAGTCTTCCAGCTGCTGGGAGGAAGGATCTGTGATAACACTCACTGGTGCATTTAGGGTGCAGCACTGAAGGAGCTCTCCTGTTCTGCAACAGCTTCATGCATGGATTGGGAGATATTATCCAACAGAGATGTTAATTTAGTTAGGAATCTTTTGTTTCCCACCTCCTGCACTGAGTCCAGAGGGCATCCAATCACAGAGCTGGTAAAAACAGGAAATAAACACAGTAGTGATGGATAAAACTTCTCTTTCATATGGATGGGAAAGCTGGTAAAAATTGATAAGATAAACTGAGCTAGATGGAAGGTAATCCTTGCATAAAAACTGTTCAGACTTCTGAAGTTTAGTGATGATTTACGTTCCAGCAAAAAAAAAAAAAAAAAAAAAAATCCCCCTAAATAGAATAGCCTATAAAGGGGGTCTAGAGAAAAATCAGTGTTAAATACTCAGATGTTTCCTGATTAAGTCTTTAAGCCTGGCTGAGATTAAGAAATTAGGGAAAGGAAAATGGGAAAGAAATACAGGCTCTTAAATTGAAAGCTGGTAGAGACATATCCTTAATTATTGTTATCTTAATGTTTTTGGATTTTTTTTCTCCAGCTTTTATTGTCATTACACTGTCACAAGTACAAAGCAAAGAAATGAACTCTCTGCAGTGGCTGCCATTATGTGGTGCCTAGAGAGCAGTGTGGGGTTAAGGGTCTTTGCTCAGGGAGCCAGAGCGGGGCCCAAACTCAGAACCTTAAGATTCCAAGCTCTATGTCCTAACCACTAGGCCGCAACTTCCTTTTATATTATTTATGTATTTTTTTATCTGCTGTCCATGTTGACTTAAGGCAGCGGAGAAACAAATCTATGGCACATATATTAGAGTTTTATTTATTTATAAAAATAAACAAAATAATTTATAATAATGACATTTTAAAATATAAATATTATTTAATTACAATAATGAATGAATGTTTTAGTTAAAAGGTAACTAAATATGTAATGTTTTCTGTACGTTTTCTTTCATCTTCACCCTCATGGAGCATGAGTTAAAACATAGAAAAGTAAAAAAAAAAAAAAAAAACATTACAAAAAATTAAAAACCACCAAAGATTAAAGTATTTTACTTTAATCCGTGACATTTAGATGTGTTTTAAATATGCAGTTATTTATTCAACTAATATACCGTTGAAACGCTCCTTGCTCTTTGTTGGAGGGGCTCAGAAGTGTTTCCTTCCGGGTTGCCGTAGCCCAACTACAGCTGGCTTTTCGCGCTATAAGTTAGGGATCCTACGCTATCTGACCGCGTGCGCAGGAAACATTTCAAAAGAGGGACACCATCTTCAGCGGTACGTATGCAAGCTTTACTTTCTCCTAAAAGGTCGCAACTTCGTCGCTTTACTAAACCAAACTTATGGGATGTACGTGGACAGTATTTATCCGTAAGCCTTTAAATAAACCTTTCAGAGTTTACTACCTAGCAACGTTCTCGTCTCTATTGTTATATGTTCGGTAGTAGTTCTTTCCTGGCGGATACACGATACCGTCAGCTTTTGCAACATTTTACCGTATTATATATTATAGTTTTGCATTGCTCAGATTTATAAACCGGGTAATGCACATTAAACTTTAGGATAAACAAAGAAACGCTGAAGGAGGAAACTTGTAGCTTAGCCATATTAGCATGGAGGCTAACGGATTTGGATAGCTAAAGAGCTAATGCATAACTAAGTTCATAGCAGCTTTCATAAAAGGTTGTTTGTTCGCATTTTACAGCAACGGCTGGAGTTAAAACCCACGCTCCTTGTAGTTTTAACCAGTTTTATACTAATGTGTTTATTAATTCCCCGCCTGTTGTTTTTCAGAATAGAAAATGGGCAAAAAGCAGAACACCAAACCTAGGAAGGAAAATCAGACCCAGGAAGAGCCGGAGGAGTTTGTTGTGGAAAAAGTGATCGACCAGCGCATCGTCAATGGGAAAGTGGAGTTTTATCTGAAGTGGAAAGGATTTACAGAGTGAGTTCCCCTTCTCCTCTCACTGGAAGTGCTTCCCTGGGATGGGGGTTGTGCTGTACATTTAGATGCACTCTCTGAGGATGTGCTAGTCTTGCTGTATTTATTTGCTTATATTGGATACATGTAATTTTGCTGATATTTAGCTGCCTGTATAGGAAAATATCATGTTCCTCTTTGTTTGCTCACTTAGTGCTGATAACACCTGGGAGCCTGAAGAAAACCTGGACTGCCCTGAACTCATTTCAGCCTTTCTGGAGGCTCAGAAAAACATCAAGGAGAAGCCTGCAGCTGTAAAGAGAAAGGCCTCCACAGAAGAGCCAGAGACAGATTCTTCCAAGAAAACTGATGTAATTATTTGATGTTAGCTGATTTAATCAATGTAGTTTAATGTTAAATTGTCAAAGATTTCTTCCAGGTGTGGGAGAAGAAAGAGAATGCTTAGTTTCTTACAAGTATTTTCCCTCTCATTGTAGGCTGAAAGCCCGCGTGGCTTTGCCAGAAATCTGGACCCAGAGAGAATAATTGGTGCAACAGATAGTAGTGGGGAGTTGATGTTCCTGATGAAATGGTAAGTTACTTTTTGTTTTTCAGAGATAAAGTAAATGTTTGTGTTATTTTACAACAAAAAAAAAATAGGGACTGAAATGCATTTAGGTCTGTTTTTGTCTGTTTCAAATCAAGGCAAAGGTATTGTGGAGGATTTTCGTTTATAAGATCAAAAATGCGCATGCAGGGCATGGTGAAGCTCATTTCTCCTTGTGCACGCTCTGTTTAAAAGTTGCTGTTCTCATTGCTCGTACAAGCTTACTGTCTCCTAACATCTGCCCTAAATCCCTCAATCACTATATAGAGCAGGGACTACATAGTGGACTTTGTAACAAACTCGGTTAACTTACTGTTCGCACAGATGATCGCTGCTTTTTGCTCCCTTGGTCACGTAAATTCACCACTGCGCGGGGCCTGCACCATCTTTATTAGTGGGAGTGGGCCACTGTAACAGCAAATTCAATTATGCTTTGCGAGGAGAGCTCTCTATGTAAAGCATTTCAGGATATATCTGCATTCCTGATGCCTTTTCTTATACGCTTCATATACACCTTTTCTCCTTAAATAAGTCATTTAAGTATTCAGTACCCTTTAATATATAGCTAGCTCTTGCTCATAGAAAACACATTTATTGTGCAGGAATAAGCTTTTAGCTCTGTTACACTGGTAGCCAAGTAATCGATAGTTCGTCGTTAAGATTCACCTTGTGTTTTTTTGTGCAATGACAATAAAGGATGTCTAAGTCTAATACATAAAGGGTACTGAATATTTCAGATTAATTCTCATGTGGTGATAAAAACTTTCAGCTTCTGGAAATAACTCACAGGCTTTGATAAATAGTCAATTGTCATGAACCCAGAGCCCTGACATGATAATGCTCATCTTCATAGTGACTTATTAACTGTAGGATGAAGTCGTCTGTCCCAATGTTCATTGTTGGCTATATTAATGTTATTTATTTATCCCCCTCTTCACACCTTTGTATTTCTTTCAGGAAAGGATCAGATGAAGCCGATTTGGTCCCGGCACGCGAGGCCAACAAACGGTGCCCTCAGGTGGTCATATCTTTTTATGAGGAGCGACTGACATGGCATTCCTGTCCAGAGGATGAAGCTCAGTGATTCTCTGGTCTCTGCTGTTATTTGCACCACCTTTATTTGTTTTGTTCCTCAAGCCTGGAATCCTCCCCCTTGCCTGCCTCTTAGTTTTAGCCATCTTTGGACATTTTTCTACTTTTGTATTTAGACAGTGGTGGAGAACTGTTGAAGCGGCTAATGTCTGTGACAGAATTCATTCAGTGATGTAATAACGGGCTTCGATAGAGCTACATGCCTCCTTCTGTGTTTTAATTCTGAGTGACTACTTGAAGATATGAAGCTGTCTTTTTTTGCTTTTTCTTTTTTTTTTCTTTTTTCTATCCTGTTCAAGTCTAGATGTTGGGTTTGTGCTCATGCAAATGCTTAATGTGTTTATGAAAGTACATTTCGTTTACGGGGTGTAAATATGAAGTTGCATAAAAATCAAACGTTTCATGTACATTTTTATAGCTTAAGCTTTTTTTTTTTTTTACTACCTACCTAAGAATCAGGGAATCAGAAAAAAATGTAGATCTTATTTATAGAGATCTTAACTGGCATTAAGAGTTGAACTTTGGACCTTTAAGCATGTTGTTGATGGTTTCCAAGGCTATGCCTATTGTTTAGTGTTGCATTAAGGTCAATTAAAGGAATTTGGAGTTAATATATGATTTTTCTGGGGTTGTGTTTAGAGTTCCTAAGCAATTCTACAAAATTACTTTTACGTTTTCTTTGAAGAAAAAAATGCATTTAAATCAACAAAATTTATGCTACTTCAATAGTCCTGCTGACCACTTAAGACAATTTACTCTAAAGCCATATTTGCTGGAATCCCATAAGCGTGTATATGTTCAAATGCATTGGCAATTGGATGACCTTGCCCAAGGGCCCATTAAAATGTGGCAGCATGCTGGAACTGAAGAAACTTTTAGATGTTTCATAACTTCCTCCACTTTATGAAGATTGTTTAGAAAGTTAATCTGGACCTGATGAAAAGACTAGAGAAAAGGTTGGTAAAATGGTTGTTGGAAGTACTGGTCCCAGTATTTCAGAATCTACTCACCCAATAGGATCTTAAGAGGCTTCAAAAAATCTTGAATATTTGCATAAGGGAGATGGTAGAGTGAATAAATAACAGTAGCTAGTGTGAGGAACAAATGCAGAAAACCTTGAAGGTGCTGGGATAGGCTACAGCAGCACAAGTCCCACGCAGGAACCTGGAGCAACGTCTACACAGGATCATTAAAATGACAATTCAGATCTGAAAAAAAGATTTTTTATCCTGCAACCTTTGGATGGTAGATCACAAAAATGTGGATTTTTCAATCTTTTTCTTGCTTTAGTGGTACTGAAACTGAAGATTTTCTATTTAACATCACAGCTCATCTGAGCAGTGTTTCTGCCCATCCCTTTATGACCACACTCTTACATTACAAAGCTCAAATATTATGAAAACAAGTTTCTTCGTTTATAGTCTTCCAAAGGCTTTTGGACCAACCAGCCCCAACAGTGAAATACGGAGTGTGGTCAAACTAGAAAATTTTGCAGTGATTACATAAAGCTGCTAGATCAAGATGCCCAGGATCTCGTAAATACTTTTGATTCTATGCTGAATCTTCCACAAAGAATTAAGCAGATTTAAGCAATTCTATAATCAAAGGGGCAAAAAGTACAGTACTAGCAAGGTGCTTGTGAAAAATTATAAATATCTCTGTAGGTATGACTTGCAAATATGGTGCAGACATCTGAAACTAAAAGAAAAGTATGACTGAGCATAAAACCTTGTTTTTAATGCATCATAACCTCTATTTTCAAATTTAATTACCTAAGTTCTGACAATGAAATCAATTCAAGATCCTATAGTGAACCCAGTATGAAATCCACCACGGTTGTCTTGGAATAAAAAGCGAATGCACATAAATGTCAAAAGGTCTATTTCAAGTGTTTGCTAATTTAAAGGGGCATTTAAACGCATTACAATATCTTTAAAAAAAGTATTTTTGTTACTGATTTCAGAAAGTGAAACTCTTATAGATCCATTACATAGAGTTAAATATCTTACGTCTTGATTTGCTGTATTTGCTCTATTTTTATTTATTACTGCTTTCAGATATAAAAATGTAGTGGATGATTTTTGTTTTTCAAACATTCTTGACAGGAAAACAATTTTGGAGAGTGATGAAAGAATCATAAAAAAAAACTAATTGATTCTAAAAAAAAAAGGTTTAATAACAATCAAACATGTCGGATTAACATGTATTAAATTTCTGCCTGAGCTCTGTAGGGTCAACGTCCAAGCAAGCAGGTTCCTCCCACCAGCTGATACCACTTAGCCGGCTGATTAGGGGGACAAACAGGTGGGATGCAAAACTACAAGTGATCCTCTCCCTTCAGCAGAGGTTTTCACTCATTTCTCCTATATGCCTGTGTTTTAGAAAGCAAATAAACAAAAGGGGGAAAAAAGCATAATAAAAGAAAGCATTTTTTGTTGCTGTATGTTTAGCCCACAGAAGGAGGTCCCACTGAGCTTTTAGTGGTTATTAGTCAAGCTTCACACCAGGAGGGGCTGAGCTTCCAGCCAGAGCCCTCAACCGGTCACTCTCTGTTCACAAACATCGGAGTAAGTCTCTGTAATTGAAGAGAAAAGAAAGGTAGGAACTTACTAAATAAATGCATAATCTCTGTGGAGTTTAGGTTATTACTTTATCGAATTTATTTCAGATAATTCTGATTGAGCAGCTGAGGTTTCTGAATTGTGCAGTGGTAATTGCATAAAAAATGGTGTCAAAGACCAGAAATCCTAACTAGACTGCATTTTCATTAAACAAGTCGTGAAATCAGTGCTAAAGTATAGTTAAGTGTAGAATTTATTATAAAACGATCTACCTTGTTCTAAATTATGACATAAATATCAGCACTTTTTCACAAGTGTCATTTCTCCTGCAGATTTTAAGTAAATTTACTTCCTAATGTCTCTGCCATTCCTCGCAATTAAATTTAAACCTGTTTAGACCTCTTCAGCAGACATTCTCATCAACCTCAAAGTCAAGAGGCATGTCCTCTTGGCTGAGGAATTGATTGTTAAAGGCTTGTGTTGCTAATAATAGTAGCTTGGTAAGAGTGCAAAGTAATTTGTAAACTCCACTGGTTCCCCAACCTACTGTTGTAACATGGCTGAGGTGTGATGCTCTCCTCAGATCAAAGTTCTGCTTTAAAGGAACAAAAATTGTATTACCAGAACCTTTTCGTTTTAATCTGGCACCCCCTTTAATTTCTGTTGGGGTGGATTTTTCAAGTTTTTATTCATATTCATCATTGGATGTGATTCTAAACTTTGACTGAACCATTAATAAACAAAAAGAATGCACTTTGGTTTAACAGATTCTATAGTATCCATTAGATTTTCCACTAAATCTGTGTACTAAAAATCCATAGAATGAAATGATTGCACTTTATTGATTTCACATGGGAGAAATTTACCTCCGTGCTTAACCCATGCCCTTGGGGAGCAGTGGGCTGCCATTGTGTGGTGCCCGGTGAGCCGTATGGGGTTAAGGGTCTTGCCCAGAGACCCAGGGTGCAGGCTGTGGGGATCGAACCGGGTACTTGCAAACTTCTCAGAGCAAAAATGCACTGCTCGAACCACTAGGCAAACACTACCCAAAAAGCATGAAAAAGCTTCCGGTCTGAGATTTAAAATGCACCAATTTGGCCTTTATCAACTCCAGTTGTAATCTTTTACTTTACCATAGAACATAACAGAGAAAAATTGTCTTTTATTTTAGGTTTAGTAGGTTTTAGTTGTGAATATTATAAGGTTATGTCAGTAATTTACCCTTCAAAGTGCATCAAAATGAAACTTCTGGTTGATGTGGTGATATATTTTTAATTTCATTTTAAGTGACCCCAAATTGATGCCAATCAATATTTTATTTCCTGCTAAACACTTATGCAAAACTGTTTAACTGCAACCTTTGTGTCGGCTAGTAATTCAAGGAAGGTATGAGAATCACATTCTCTGCAGCCAATGTGTGACAACCATCTCACCAGACATGCTTTTGTAAAAACAATTGACCGTCCAATAAAAGGTCTATTCTTCTTTGACGCGAAGAAATGTGCCATGACTTGTCAATTAGGAGTCATGGACATGAGTAGACGGTCTTGCTTCCTCAGAGGAAGGTAATTTCATGTGACATTTTGCATAGTGCATCTACAGATTAGATATGGACTTAGAATGTTTGGTCCTATTGATGAACTCTGCTGGAGGCATCTCTCATGTAACGTGTCAAAGGACACATGTCAATAACTTGCAGAAATCTCTAGTTTTGCTTGACCATATCCCCTTACCTAACTCTGCTTGACCATATGAGGGGAGACGTTGTGCAATCTATATGAGTCTCTCTTAAAATAATAAACTGTTGACATTTTAATCGCTGTCCTCTTGATGACTTTTAGTTTTGTTTTTGTTTTTTCAGGCTGAAACAAAAGGCTAGACCAAGGTGAGATGACTTTAACATAGATTTCTATAATCTGAATACACCTGTCTGCAACCTTGCAGCAGTTTAAATGTAATTTTTCAGTTTTGCTTAAAGTAATTGAAACTGAAGTCAGTATTTGTTTGTACTGGAAATTGAGGTGAGAGGCAATGGATAATGGGTGTTACTGTGCAAAAATTGTACTAGGAGGAAATTGGTATAAGTGGTTTGGGTAAGCATGATTATTGGATTTATTTATAACTGTTGCATTGTTGACTTGGATGTTGTTGACTTACTGAATGCTTTGATATGGCCATTACTAGTAGCTGTTTTGGAGGGTTATCAATAGCTCTCTACTCCTTCCAAACCCTTGTTATGTAAATGATTAGATGAGAATTTGATGGTCATTTTAAACCTGACCTGCCTTGATATAGTCTGGTATAATGCAATTTACTTTGAGTCAGAGGCCTACCTTGGTTAAGGCCCACCCTAGCTTGGATAAGGAATCTGTATTTGAACTAAATGAAGGCATTGATCTTCTCACTCAGGAATAATGTATATTACATATGTTGGCAATCCTAACTACTTGTATTTTTTAGTTTACTTGGACACTGCCCTATCCCTTAAAGTAGGTTTACCAAGTAATTTGTCAGCTTTAAAGTAACATTTTGTTCCCCTTATCCCTTGCCTGAATTATGTCCATTTTATTTTACTTTTTTCTTTTTTTTTTTCTTTTTTTTTTTTTTACACCATTGTCTTCATATATTGCTAGCTAAGACTCCAGAGATTTCATGCCCAGAAAGCAAAGGTCTTTTTTTTTAAGGCAAAGTTAATATCTCTGACATATATAACATGTTATTTCTTTGATATTCTGTACAGAACCTGTACCAGTTATGGACAGTTTCCTGGATAATCTCTCAAAATCTGTAAGTATTCAAATATAACATTTACCATTTCATTCTTCAGTTTTCTTTGGCTTTCCTGGAATATTGGATTGAACTGGCCAATAAGGTCAACAAAATAAACCCTTGTTTTAACTTTATCTTCAGCTTTGAGGTGTTGGACTATTTTTCTCTTCCAGGAATTTGTAAGCATTTGTGTTCAAGAACCAAGACTTCACAAAGATGACCTTTGGCACACTTATGTCGACTACGAGATCTGTTTACATGTAAGTGATCATGGATATTGATCTTGTACGTCTGTCTGTAAACATGTTTGATCAGAGTAATTTAACATTTGTCTTTCAGACCAACAGCATGTGTTTTCGAAAAAAGGCTTCTTGTGTAAGGAGGCGTTACAGTGACTTTGTTTGGCTGCGCAATTGTCTGCAGAGAAATGCTCTGATAATGTAAGTTGAAATTCTGGATTATTGTACAAAATATTTGCTACATTTATTAATGTAGAATTTCTATTTGAATGTCTTGTGCAGAGAATTGCCCAAACTGCCACCTTGGAACCCCTTTTTTAGTTTGAAGAACAAAGAGCAGGTATCCAAGAGAATGAACGGCCTACAGGAGTTTTTAGAAAAGTTAGTTGTTTCGTTACACTTCTGTCATAGGTTTTAATGTCATCCGAACTTGTTTTAATAGTGTTTTCTTTTTCAGAGTACTTCAGAATCCCCTACTGTTATCAGACAGTCGGCTCCATCTCTTCCTGCAGTCGGATCTCAGCATCACAAAGATTGAAAGGTGTGCGCTTGGTAAGACCAGGTACACGGTAGCTGAGGCTATTCAACAGTCCAGAGGTGGATTTTATAGCGGTTCAGATGACAAGAATTCTTGTGACTCGGATTGTGAAAGGTGAGTTATAGTGCTCACTTGTAAAAGTGGTGTAATTCCTTGAACTTTGACATTGTCACAATTTGTTGTACTGCCACTCCCCCTGGATTTGTAATTTAAATCTCTTTGTCACACAATGGGTAAATTAAATCTCTGCATCTTAACCCACCCCCTTGGGGAGCAGTGGGCTGCCATTGTGTGGCGCCTGCAGAGCAGTGTGGGGTTAAGGGTTTTGTTTAGAGCCCCAGGGTGGAAGCTGTGGGGATCGAACATAGTACTTGCAATTCCACAAGAAGGAATAATACAATATGGAAAAGAAATTTAGGTTTTTCTTTAAACGTATCAAATGTTATGCATTTTTATTCAGCTTCCTTATTTTATGCTTTGTGGAACACATTTGTTGTGGTTAAAACTATGGTTTTGGTTTTTCCTTGAAATATTTTCACATCCAGAGACTTAATTTTGTCCAATTTAAAAAAAAAAAATCAAACACTCACTGATTGGATAAATTTGTATATATGCATTTTAATCCAGATTCATGAATGCACTTTGTTATGAAACCCTCCACAGTAGCTCTGGTTGTATATTTAGGAAGTTCCACTCAAGAAGTTAAAAGGAGCCTACATTGTGATGCTGCCATTATTCAAATGGCTTACTATGCGATGGACATCTGGGATCTGCCATAAAGCATTACATGTTGTTCCACAAAGTAAAAGTTTTGGCTACATTTTTATCAGGGCAATGTATACTAAAGCAGATTTAAGGTACAGTGCAGGATTTTTATGATTTTATGAGACCTGCCCTCTCCACCTTTTAAAAAGAAAAAAGCACATGCACAACCATGCACCCACTCCCGAGAGGGAACGCCTATTAAATGCATGTAGAGCATGCACAAGTCCATTTCTCCTCGTGCATGCCATGTTTAGAAGAGGAAACTTATCACCAGAATGACTGTGACAATTAGGAGCACTTATTTTGATGATCCACCTGAATAAAGAACATCCTCCACTATACCTTCTAATCTATCACAGCTGGCTGAAATTTTATCACATTCAAGGGACAAAGCTGGTAATCTTCTTAAACCATGGTTTTCTCCTGTGGATATGCATGCTCATGAAAACATGGGTGGAGATGCAGATTTCCTGTTAGTTTTTATATGGTGCTCTGCTTTAAACAGCTCTAACTTTCTATCATTTTATACCACCTTTATTATACTTTTAGTTCAGTTTTTTTTTTTTTTTTTAGGCAAGCTTTAAGAACTGTCTGAGCAGCCCTTTTTATACTAGGTATTCAATTGCATTTTTACTAATTAGATCGTGTCTGCAACCATCAAGTGTTTATTTAAAATGCCTTTCCAATATTTCAGAACATTTGGATGTTTAATCTGTTTTCTCTTTGTGCAGCTCTGCATCTTCGGGTCTGGGATTAAGCATAGACTCCAAGGCTCAAGAAAGTCCTGTCCTCTTCCATCATTCATCTGAAAGAGATCCATAATGGTGTGGTCTCTTAGAATTTGTATTGAAACCATAACGTCTTCCTTCTGAGTATAAATCATTGCTTGCTGTTTGTGATGCACCTTCCAGGTCTTGGTATCCACCAAAAGGTGCATAGATTTTATTTCTAATATCCTGCTTAGGCCATCATTTTTTATAATTTGCCTCATTGTACTATGATGTAAAGACCTCACTTATTGAAGTGCTATATTTGTTGGGGGGGGAGATTGATATTTTAAAAAAATGTATAATGAAAATAATGGAGAAATCTTAAATATTTCTGATACATTTTATTTGTGCTCAATGTTGCCCTGTTTTGGCAAGCACATTTTGAATTTTTTTTTTTAATATTCACTTGTGTTTTTATGATCTGCCAAAGGATAAATAAATGTCTTTTTTTAAAAATATTTTAATGCAGCTTTGAGAATCTCTCTTGTCAAGACTTCAGCATTGACATATTTTTGCATTGTGCTAACACTCCAGTAGAGGGAGTGTAGACAGCATCACAAAGTGAGGTACAGAGGGCTGGTCAGAAATGAGAACCATGTACTGTAAAGAGCATTAAAGCCCACTTACTCAGACCAGTGTGGGGAAATGGGAATATGCTGGTACTCATCAACTTGATTAACATTTTTTAAAATTGAGTGGAAAAGTTAAACTAGCTATAAATGACTGTTCTGTATTTACCCTCAATCATATTTACTGACAAACCTAATGGTGTAAAATTCTGAAAACACTTTTTCTGCCGTAGAAAATTAACCTTTAATATCACCTTCTGTTACAGCATGCAGAGGGAACTCTTCTCCTTTCTCTTTACATCATACAGAATCCTTATGCCCTCTTTTCATCCCTCCTCAGATTTTCTACTGGATTTTTTTTTTTTCTTAAGCCAGAACTTTTCTTTTTCAATGTGTTTTTGAGAAAATGTCTTGGAAGCTATTTAGATTTATTTTCCAGTACACCAGATTTTGATTTAACAATTGTACTTGAGTGTCAAAAGCTTATGCCACACACTTGCATCCCCAGGACATTTTGGAAGACAAGCTGAACACATCACAGTTCGTTGACCATATGTTTTCTTTTTTTTCACCTTTACAAAATCCAATTGTATATTTAATGCAGAAAAAATTTCAGGAAAACAAAATGCATTACAAACGGCTCCAACATCTCTATCACTAAAGGATCACATGCACGGACAGTAGTGGCATTTAAGACATGCATGCATGGGGCGTGAAATGTATACTGCCAAATAGACCATATAGCAATCTTGTAAAAAAGCATTTAGAAAATTCTAACGGGATTATAATTTTAGATTAATATGCACTCTAGTTCTAAAGACTTTGACCCCAATAAGCGAGATAGAGAGATAGATATATAGATAGAGATATATATATATATATATATAGATATATATAGATATACACACACGCATATAAACTGAGATGTTCCCTTTACATCCTCCTATGTGGGAGATAATTATGGATTTATGTCCAGACCTTTTGTCAGTAGTGAGGAGAAACTGCTGTTGTTTAAACTGCAGTAAGTATTAACATTTTTTGAAAAGAATTACAATTTTTTTTGCACATATCTGAGGAAAAGTTGAATGTGAGACATGCTTGGGCTATGTCTGGTTTATTTTTATCTTTTTAATTGAACTTCACCTCCAATTAACATTTTAGCATGATATACTATTAAAAAGAAATGTCTGCAAATGTTTTCTAGTGACTTAAGGTTGTCTGTATCTGTACTTAAAATCTTTAACTTAATTTAATATGGATTTAATTTCCAAAAAAGATATGAATTTTTGCCTTTTTAGCATAAAAGAGAAATGTAACTGTTGCATTTCAGATATTCCAAATAAGATGGTTTAAAGATGCCTCTTCAGCTCCAAATTATGCTAAGATGCAACAGTGTTTGCCACCCTTTGTAAACTGAAAGAAGCAAATGCAGGACGGCCCACCAGTAAACCCTGCCTGTCCTGTCTCTGGTCTCCTTTCTCCTGGAGCACACCATCTCCCAATGCTCACAGGCCATAATGAAGCTGTCAGAGACTTCACACGCCAGCCGCCGAGCTGTTTCTCACACGACAAACACTGATGCGTATGTACGTGCAACGCTGACAGTTGTGAAAGCCCACAAGTGAAAGCCATGCATGAATGAACCTTTTCTCTCTTCTGCTCATCCTGTTGTCATTTTCCTCCCAGTCCCACCGGTTTGTGTTTGGAGCTCTCAATCTGTTTGCTGTTAAGGCTGACCTTATCAGTGTACAACCCATGACAAGCATACAGTTATGACACACATGCTTTAGTTCAGAGCGGCTCGAATTTTCAGCGAAAATGGAATGCAACTGTGAGGGTTTGCATCTGGTGTGTGTGAGTGTGTGTGCGCACATCTGCAGTTTAGAAATGGGGAGTGAAACCAACCAACATTTGGATATTGAGTATTCACGGTACATGTCTATTTCAGCTTGGTAATTTATAACTCAATTTCCAGTGTGCATTGATGCGCTTCATACCTCAAAAACACCAAACAAAGCCCAAACCCAATTGTATTTGAAAGCAATTAGGGTGTCCACTGGGTTGTGAACGGTCCACGTTGCGATGGCTCCAGGCCCGTGTGATATTTTTAATTGTTAATTTTCTATCACATTAGTCAACTTCAGTGCTTTTGGACAGGTGACCAAGAGCCTTGTACAGAACACACTGGCTGCTTTTTAATGGGAGGTACTTCAGTGTGTAGGAGGAGAGGTAACGATGAGCTAACTGACAGGAGGGTATATCATATTTACAGCTGCTTTATGGTCAGAATCGTCCTAATGCTCTTCAATATACGTGGATGATCATCAATATTGGTTAAAGTTTATAAGTGTAAATTATTAGCTCATTTAGTCTTTCACCTGATGCCACCACATGGGGATGGATCACCTCCTTGACCCTACAGAAGCCAACAGTTAAAATCCATATCAGCAATTAGCCTGCACAGCTCTCACCCTGCCCTGTGCATGACTCCCCACACATTCTACTTTTCATACATTTTTCCTATGTTCCTGTTATCTCTCTATATTTTGTAAGATAATTACTTGCCTCTTTTGTAGTTGGTAGTTTGTTTTTTTTCCAGCTGATGCTTAAGAGCCTGACTTTCATGCCTCAGATGAGTTCTCAGGAAAGTAGGCCTCTGTCTGGAGCTTGCAGCTTTCTCTGAACCTGTTATAAAAAATAGTAATATTCAACCAGATGAGATCCACACATGATATAAAACAATCAAAAGAATGAACATTTTCTTCCCACAGAGTGATCTCTATCATAGAAATGAAGCATTTGGAGATTTTTGAACATTTCCTAAGATTCATATATATTTGTAGTAAATAAAATCTATTCACTGATCAAAGTACGAGTCAAACAAAAATACAGATATAGTGAACCACTAAGATTAGATTTCACTCTATATGACCAAGACCTATACAGGTGATTTTCGGTTGATATAAAATATATTTTTCTGTGCATTATGATTAGTATGTTGTTCAAATGCAAGGATTGTCTCCTTAAACTTTAAAAATTAAAATGAGCTCATGTTAATACAAAACCTTTTTTCCATTTTTAGACTCTAAAATATGCTGCTCCTACCTTTCAGAAACGTTATTTAATGTCTGTGTAAAACCGATCAATCGGATTTATCAAGCCCAAATAACCTCATTAGTGGGTTGCTGTGTCCTACAAGTGTTTATATCTAGTTTTTTTTTCTTTTTAAAGATCCAAAATTGTGTTTTCCCCCGTTTAGAATTTAATCATTTGCTTTATGAAACAGACCAAGAAATCCAAAACCAATTCCCAGGAAGCAACTCACAAGTTTAAGAACAACTTTCCCAGCCTACAACAGCTGGGTAGAAAGATATTGTCAAAGTCTGGGGAACCATACCTACTGAGAGGTGTCCCTCTGTTTGTTTCTCTACCAAACTTTTAGAGGACCCAAATCGGTTATTAATAACCTAGAAATACAAACAGACCTTTAGTTTTAATGTTTTCATTCTTTTTAAGTAAAACATGTTGACAATACCTGCGACAGACAGCGACCTGTCATGTACCCAGCCTCTTGCCCATGAATTGCCTGATATGGGCTCCGGCTCCACCGGCACCCTGAGCGAGAGAAGATGGATGGATGTTACCGATAAAATATGGATACTAATTTGATTATTGTTTCTGATTAGTTTTCAAAGTAATCATTCAATTTTAATAGAACCGCCAATGTTGTGATTCTGAGCTAAATAAATTTTTCCTAATTTTCAGGATGATAATTTTTCACACATTAATGTATGATTATACATTTGACATTTTTATTTTATGAGAATAAATGCATTTTACTAAATACATATTTTTAAATTGCCATTTTTAGAGCTAATCTACTTCCCAAAACATATATCTTACCATAGGAATAACTAAGAGGATGTTTTCTGACTAAAGAATTAACACATTAAACATGTGATCTGATTAAGATCAAGATAAAGTTATGTTATTCCATAAAAACATAACTTATGTTATTTTGGGGTGGGATCCCTCCCTAACCCCCCTCTAGCTTTGGTCCTGGTTTTTAATCACACATTTGTGTGTTGCTAAGAAAAATCTTTAAATATTAGATTTTATTATTTTATTGTTTTTTGTATATACAAAAGCTGTATACTGTAATACAGTGGCTGATAAAAACTGCAAGGTTTAGCACAACAAAATCAGACCAAACCTCAATCCACTTCCTTGGTTGCCTTTAGAGGTGGGTAGAGTACCTAATAAATTGTACTCAAGTAAGAGTAGAACTACTGATGTATGCTACTACCCAACTCTGGTTGCCTCAGCTCTCTGGGAGCCATTGCTTCCAGGGAAGGAGTCAGCAAGAGGAGCCATTCAACCAATCAGAGTAGGAATTAACCCTAACCTTAGCCATGACAGGAGGCCAGAGAAATCCTAAAGTAGAATCATATCAGAAAAAATATTAGTCATGACAGAATGTTTCTCTTTAAAAAAATAACATTCAAGGATCGATATATTAAATTTAATCACCTAAAGCTACATTTAATCATTAATTACCTTTAAGCAATCTATAGATTTCCAAAATATGATCATTAAGCTCTATAATACATTTTGAACAATCCTCAGATCAAATTTTTTATGTATAAAAGCAAGGTAACGTGTTTCTAATATTTCAGATATTCCAGGATGCCTTGCAGGAATGCTTTGTTTTGACTTGACATGTAATTTTCCAGGCATATATAAAAAAAAAAGAAGTTTTAATGAAGCATACTATAAATCCACGAAAGGCAGCCCTCACTGCCTGTGTGGTGTGAAAGTGTCTGCAGATCTGGGGTCAAAACTCCACTGTC